AAAAGTGTTATCGATGTATAGGACTTACTAAATATTTGATATTTTTTAATTATTTCATTATATTACAGTATAATACATTATTATTAATAAAAGGAGTGTTAAGTGCGTTAGATATTTATAATGCAGTGAAGAAAACGTTTAAAAGCATATTAGGCATTGAATATATAAATCGATGAAGTAACGACCGTTCATCTATAATTATGTAAACTAATCAGGATTCCAGACTCTCCTGAGTAAGTCAGAATCATAACAGATGAAGACGACTGTATAATCTTTACAACGAGCCAGGGTCCCTTTATATTATACAATAAATTGGATACATACCTCCCCTATGTGGCATAATTTTTGGCTGATAAAAATTTTCACCTATCGCCAAATAAATCCACAGCCACTCTCTTTGCTTCCAGGACTATAGAAGTATCCAATACTCTGTCCATTAATATCGGTGAATTCAGGATCCCCACAACTAACAAATCCAAAATCCTAAGTATCGTTCTCGGCAGTAAGTTTATCTTTTCCGCCGCACATGCCTTAACCTTGTGCAGCCGATAGAAATCTCGCAGTAATGTGTTAAAAGCGCTCGGAGGATGCTCTTGGGGTAAAGACAAAAAAGTTTTTTGAAAAAACCCTTTTGAGCAGTTCAGTTATATGTTATTTCATTAATAGCCTCACAACATACACACATACTGTTGTGTTAATAATATTGTTCTATAATATAGTTATAGTTGTACCAAAGAATCTATAGTACAAAGAAGTGCCACGCTCATACAAACGAAATACCCACTTTATTTTGCTGGTGGATTTATAATAAATCCACCCAACCTCATGCAACAATGTTTGATCGAGGCACAACTGGTATGATGTTCAGTTCAAACTCATTGCAACCAATTGTTTTTATACGCCTGTTTCTTTTTCCTTTCTTGTTTTTATTTGTCTATTTTATTAATATACATTGATTAGTAGCGAAGTGAATGGTAAAGAAATCCCTGAAACAATTTTACCATATACTTTGTTGCTTTATTTTCTTGTACTGAAAAGGCTCATATCATAGGAGTAAAGAGTAATAGAATATAATTTTTTTTTATTGCAAAAAATGATGCACTACAAAAACTATTATGTATGTACAAATGTGATATTGGAGACATTAAGTCTGCAGTACATAAATAAGTTTGTTTTTATTGCACATTTGTGCATATATTTTACCTCAAAAGGAACTACTTCTTAATAGTTTGAATTTTTGGTGACTTTTTGTAATTATTTTAAAAAATATTTGCAAGATTCATATAAAAGTTTTTGAAAAGTATTTTAAAAAAAATAAAAATATTAGAAATGTAAGAAAAATTTTAATGCAAAAATGTGTAGAAGTCACTAAAACCACTATTAATGCCTACTGGTTTGAGGAAACGCATGAATGCTATTTACACCGGATTGAAATGTTAAAATTGGTGTTTACGATATTGCTTCGGAAACATTGCGCATGGACAACATTTAAGAATAAAGCTTCATAGAATGAAAAAAATCAGATTTGAGACATAAATAAATTTGTAATGTGTTTTTACACTACAATTCATACCAATATCAAACAGGGAATTTTGTTTTTGTTTTATATTATTAAACTCAAAAACTTATCAAATGTACACAATTTTGACTTCGTCACTGAAATGCTGTTTGATCGCTTGAACATTTTACAGCGAACAAACACACAAACATGCGTATAATGTAATACAGAGGGTTGCATGTATGATTGAATACGTATGCAGTCGGGCTTTTGTCAGCCTTACTTGACTCACATATAGGTTTGAACTGAACATCATACCAGTTGTGCCTCGATCAAACATTGTTGCATGAGGTTGGGTGGATTTATTATAAATCCACCAGCAAAATAAAGTGGGTATTTCGTTTGTATGAGCGTGGCACTTCTTTGTACTATAGATTCTTTGGTTGTACTATAGTTACAATATGCTAAATCGATCGGTAATTCCGATCTTTACCAAAAGATGTTTTAATTACATCAGAACTAAATTTTCAATAGAAGATAAAATGTAAATTGCGTTTCTATTTTAATCCTTAAATATATTATATTTGGAAGTAACCATCAAAATAAAATTTATATAGTTTTCCATAATACCTTTTTAACAAACCCACAAGTATTAACAAAGCAAGTCAGAAAATTTAAATTATTTAAAAATAACGATAATAAAATTTATTAAATAATACATTGTAGATAATATAAGTGTAATTCTTAAAATAAAAATGTATTTGAATATGAGAACAGTTTCCTATAATTACTTTTTGAAAAGCCCACAAATATTAACAAAGTAAGTCAGAAAATTTTAATAATAAAAATACAATAGTATATATCAATAAAAAGTTTCGAACATTTTGTTTAGTAGTCTATAATACATATATTCTACATAATTCGCAATGGATTATACAGAGATACTTTCTAGCGAAATCACTATGATTGTGTAAGTCTTGAAAATATAAAAAAAGTAAATATTTTGTAATGTTTTTTTCTTTTGAATGCTATTGAATTATTAAAATTGGATTCCAACATTTTTCATTTCTCTCTATTTAATATATAATTTTAAAATATACTACTTCAGTATGATTTCAGACACATGCATCGAAACCGATTAATCACATATAAAACTAAACTATAAAATAAAAATTCCGTAGATCTTCACCAAAATATTTAGGTAAAATATAATTCACCACGGTTTGATAAATGTGTGCGATGCCTTAAGTACATTTAATGTTGGCAATGCTTTCCGCAGGTTAGCTGTCAAATGACGTTGTTTCGCTTATTCGAGAGAAGCTTCCCACTAGTTGAGGGCACGTCGGTGTCAAATAGCGGATTGAGAAAGTGTTAATTATTTATTAATTTTTTTCGAATTATGTATTAAAAATTTATTTTGTAATTAACTATTAAATTCTAATTGCAAAAGTTTCCGTAAATTCGTTTAGCGAATCGTACTAAATTGTTTATTTATTGAGTGAAAAACCGTGACGAAATAAATCCAAAAATAAATTTTTGCTTGCGTGATTCATTTTGGGGCGGCATAAATTCCATAGCAAATATAACACAAAACAGTACAAGTCTAAATATTTATATATATATCCTTCAATATTAAAGTAATTCGTTAAAGTTTAATATAAAATTTTAGTAAGAAACGGATAAGATTTGCTGAAATGTTTAGCTTTCTCAAACGCGAAAATAAGAACCAGGAGGTTGTGGAAAATGTAATTGGCGAATTGAAAAAAATTTACCGAAGCAAGCTTTTACCATTGGAGGAACATTATCACTTCCATGAATTTCATTCGCCAAAACTTGAGGATCCTGATTTCGATGCGAAACCAATGATTTTATTGGTTGGTCAATATTCAACGGGTAAAACCACTTTCATACGTTATTTGTTAGAAAGAGATTTTCCTGGAATACGTATTGGTCCCGAACCAACAACTGACCGTTTTATAGCGGTTATGTATGATGAGAAAGAAGGTGTAATACCCGGTAATGCATTGGTAGTTGATCCTAAGAAACAATTCCGGCCACTCAGCAAGTACGGAAATGCTTTTCTCAACAGGTTTCAATGTTCCTCAGTAAACTCACCAGTGCTACATGCTATTTCAATTGTAGATACCCCTGGTATATTGTCTGGTGAAAAACAACGCATCGATCGTGGTTATGATTTTACGGGTGTACTTGAATGGTTTGCTGAACGTGTCGATCGTATTATATTACTTTTTGATGCACATAAATTAGATATATCAGATGAGTTTCGAAGGTCTATTGAAGCCTTGAAGGGTCACGATGATAAAATAAGAATCATATTAAACAAAGCAGATATGATTGATCACCAGCAACTGATGCGAGTTTATGGTGCACTTATGTGGTCACTTGGTAAAGTATTACAAACGCCAGAAGTAGCGCGAGTTTATATTGGTTCTTTCTGGGATCAACCATTGCGTTATGATGCTAATAGGCGACTTTTCGAGGATGAAGAACAAGATCTTTTCCGCGATTTGCAATCACTGCCACGTAATGCAGCTTTACGCAAATTGAACGATTTAATAAAACGGGCGCGATTAGCTAAAGTACATGCATTTATCATATCCGAATTACGAAAAGAAATGCCTAGCGTGTTTGGTAAAGATAGCAAAAAGAAAGATTTAATTAAGAACTTAGGACAAATTTATGATCGCATACAACGTGAACAGTCAATATCTCCTGGTGATTTTCCTGACATTAAAAAAATGCAAGATGTCTTACAACATCAAGATTTCACAAAGTTCCATTCTTTGAAACCACACTTTTTGGATGTTGTCGAGAAAATGCTTGCAAATGATATAGCCAGATTAATGGAAATGATACCGCAAGAAGAGATGACGCATATCATTGAACCAATGGTTAAAGGTATATTAAAGTTAATAAATATTCATTTATATAATATTTTCATATATTTCTATTAACACATATATTTATTTTTCTGCATATAATTTTTTATTTTACTCTTCTCTTTTTATATTCCTTCTGTCCGATATTTTCATGTCATTCGGTGCTGTCCAGAAGTTACAGGTAAACTGAGTCAGCAATTCTTAAAGTTCATTCACTTTCTTTGCTGTTAGCACAATTTTAATTTGTTTTGACAGCATAATTCTGGTTTAATTGCAAACTTGTTTCATATTTGCATATTACAGAATCCAAAAATATAATATATAACACACATTACCAAAAAGTATTAACTCATTAATAATGCACTTGCTCCGTTCTCAACTTTTATTGCACTTTTGGTGTTCATTCTGTTCATATATTAAAGTTTGTCCTATCGTCAAGCAAGTAGACGAACTGATTGATTTTGGTTTACTAATTTCTATATCTGAATGTGGTCATCAATTTACTGTATAGTAGTATAAAATCATGTTGCCATTTAAATATCTTTAATCAGATATAATATCTTGGTTGTTTATTTCAATTATTATGGACTAGAACTTAAATTTAAGGTAGTCCTTTTGTTTCAATAAATATTTAACTTATATCCGTTGACGGTTTGGTTCTTTTATATATCATATTGTTTTACATTCTGTTCCTACTAACTCTTAAAAATTTATTGTCTCTACATTTAATAATCATTCTGCATATATGATCCTATTACCATATGACTTGACCATAAACTAAACTAACTCTCTTATCTAAAGTTATAAGTCTGTTGCATTTCAAATAATCTCTACTTAAATGATGTGCAACTTATGGATTTTATTGGACATAAGGATCGTGTTAAGACATATATACTGTTTGTTGAGGTACCATAACGCATATTGTAAGTCACATTGTAACATTGGTCTTTGACATTTCTCTTAAATTTATAGATTTGCTTATTTAAAACAGATATATGTTATTATTGTTGAGTACATGATCAAGCAAACTTAAATTAACGTTGTACGTTATTTGTAAAAAATGTGTAAAAACTGTTGATATTCTAACTCAAATGGATTTAAATTTCATATTTAATTTTTTTTAAAATAAAAAAATGCTTAACGCCTCTTTATAAAGTATTAAAGTCATACCTTAAATCTTACTCAATTAAACTCAAATCACTTACTATTGTAACGAACCTTCCTGGCCGGGGTTTTACTCGCCGGATTCAAGGTTCAGTCCTACAATAAATTTATTTGATAGGAACAGTGGAATACGGTGGATGGTGACGTTGGTACGGTGATATGGTTTGAAGAAATGTGAATTTCTTCTCTATACAATGGATTTGACGTAGAAATGTTAATTTCGACGCCCCTGACAAAAGGTTTGAAGAAATGTGAATTTCTTCTTTATATGTACAATGGATTTGGCGTAGAAATGTTAATTTCAGCGCCCCTGACAAAAGGTTTGAAGAAATGTGAATTTCTTCTATATACAATGGATTTTGGCGTAGAAATGTTAATTTCGACGCCCCTGACAAAAGGTTTGAAGAAATGTGAATTTCTTCTTCATACAATGGATTTGGTATGGGTGATAATGTTCATGGGTTATTATCACCTTACCGAGTAATTTACTAACGAAAATTTGATTTCGTTATGAACAATAGAGTAATAGAAATTTATATTTCTATTACTATTAACGAAATGTTAATTTCGTTATTAATTATGATTTTTAATAGAAATGTGTATTTCTATTAAAAATAAAAAAAAATAAAACAAAATAGAAATCGAGATGTAAATTTCGATTCTTGGTGTTTCAGCACATGTAATATAGAGCGACCTGTTCTTAGCTCGCTGTCTTGCTGAATCCCAGTCTACTGCGTTTGCTTCGCCTTTTATACTTGTGATGTGCGAAGCAAGCAGTATCTTTGTTCTTGTGATTTCAACGGTTCGTTGTTTACAAGTTTCTTTCTATTGTTGTTTGTTTTCTTGTTGTTTATTTTGTTTTTATTATATTTGTGTTGTTTGGTATTATTTGTGTAGTAAAATTTAGTTAGTGTAAATTTTATGTTACACTTCCCCGGTTTTTCCATCGAATTGAAGGACTCTGATTACCTCGTAGAATGATTCCTTGTTCGTTTCCTTGGATTTTTGAAAATTTTAAAGAACTTGTCTTGGACTATGATGTTATGATTGTTATCTTTTTGTTCAAGTATACCTAAACGTCTTAATTGTCGCTGGCGATTTTGACTACTATTTGGAATCTCTGTCTCGACGAAACATTGTCTTACTAGCGCTGGTGACTTGGCTCCTTTTGCCTTCGGTTGATCTACGTTAAAGTTCTCCTGAGGTGACAGTTGTTCCTGTTGACTAACGCGAATAATTGAAACTTGTGCTCGACATTCTTGGCTTGGAATTTGTAACTGTCTGTCAGGTTCTGAGTTTTGCTGTCGTTGTATCTCTTGGCTTTGTGCTAGAAACTCCCTTGTAGATCGTTGGCGGTGTATTTCTTGGACTTGAGTTTGCAACTGTTTGTTAAGTTGTGTATCCTGACTTTGTAATTCTGTGTTAGGTTCCGTGTTCCGTTGACCTGGTGTTTCTTGACTTGGAAATTCTGTGTTAGACTCTGTGTTTTGTCGATTTATTTCTTGACTTGGTAATTCTGTGTTACATTCTGTGTTTTGCTGACGTTGTATTCCTTGACTCGGTAATTCTGTGTTAGACTCTGTGTTTTGCTGACGGTGTATTTCTTGACTCGGTAATTCTGTGTTAGACTCTGTGTGTTGCTGACGGTGCACTTCTTCTGGTATTACTCGGGCTGGATGAAATACTTCTGGATTTTCTTTAATCGACATTAGGCGTTGCAATCCTTGTTGTGGAGGTGTGAGACATTTACATGGCGTTTGTGAAATTTCTTGTAGTGGTTTTGGATGCTGTTCTAGATAATTTCGATCCTGCATGCTAAGTTTTTTTGTACGTAGGTTGGACTGATTCTGTAATGGGATCACTTGTGGATACTCGACTACTGTGAGCCTGATGAGCGCTTCTTTTGCTGCCGTTTGCGAATTGATGAAAATTCGCGAGGATCCTGTATCGATCGTTGCTTTCATGACTTGTTGATTATTAGTTACTTGGGCCGACAGACGTGATTCACTGAGCTTCATGCATTCTACTGGTGGGACGGGGTGTTGACTTGAGGTCCCATCGCCCCGTTCTGTCGATGGACCCTGTTCTCGTTTCCCTGGTTCCTGCAGCACTCAATTGTACGTTTTCCCTTCTTTCCGCATTCCCAGCAAAATAAGATGCCTGAAAAACGACAATTCCACCTCAAGTGTCCTTGTTGTCCGCAACGACGACAAGCTGTCCTGACATCTTTAATCTTGTCTTCAGATGTATCAATCACTCTTGCTTTGATCTCCTTAGCCGGTAGCGTATTTCTTACTTGACGGTCCGTAGCGGTCAGTGCCTCCAGGTCCCCAGCTAATGTTAACAGCTCGGATAATGACTGGAAGTCTTTCCTACGGATATACCATTGATACTCGGTACGACTGTTCCGGTAGATTCTCTCTAATTTTATCTCTTCACTGTATGTTGAATATTGCATTATGTTCTGCAGTGCCAATACATAATCTCTGAACAGTTCCCTAGGTTGTTGCAGGCGGGCTCGTATTTTGTCCTCTAATTGTTCAAAGTATCTTGGGGGCAAGAAGAATGCTAAAATATCTGCTTTGAATGATGGCCACTCGGTCCATCGCTTGTTGTTATTCCTGAACCAGATCAGTGCCTTGTCTTTTAGAACTTCAGGCATTAGCTTCGGTAATAAGTCCCGATGTATTCCGTACATATCTGCCAGTTCCTCGATCCGTTCTATAAATGGTAGTATTTCGTGTTCCCCTGAGTAGTGGCATTCCCATTTTCTGACTTGGTTGATGATTACTGGATATTCGGCCATGGTTACACTTCCTCCCTTAGTTATCGAAGGACGTCTATTTTCAATGACTCCCGGTGATGAGCTTCTGATATGTAGTTTCGCGAGTTCCTGTAGCCTGGCGGTATCTTTCTCAGCTGCCTCTGAGTCCATGAACGTTGAAAGTTTTTTCCGAAGTTCCTCCAGTGAACCACTTGGATCTAATCCGAATTCGTCTGCGTAACTCACCAGTTCCTCCTTTTTAGCGAAGTAAATCTAAGATTTGCCTCCTGATGTAAGTCGTTTTGTGCTTGTCGAAGCGACTGCTGTTTTACGGCCTGCTTGTCCTGTCACTTCCTTGATTCCTGATGGTACCACCGTTGGTTTGTCTTCCATCCTCAACTGAAGATGTTGGTCAGTTCTGTTCCCACGGTCCCTGCTCGGGCGCCAATTGTAACGAACCTTCCTGGCCGGGGTTTTACTCGCCGGATTCAAGGTTCAGTCCTACAATAAATTTATTTGATAGGAACAGTGGAATACGGTGGATGGTGACGTTGGTACGGTGATATGGTTTGAAGAAATGTGAATTTCTTCTCTATACAATGGATTTGACGTAGAAATGTTAATTTCGACGCCCCTGACAAAAGGTTTGAAGAAATGTGAATTTCTTCTTTATACAATGGATTTGGCGTAGAAATGTTAATTTCAGCGCCCCTGACAAAAGGTTTGAAGAAATGTGAATTTCTTCTATATACAATGGATTTTGGCGTAGAAATGTTAATTTCGACGCCCCTGACAAAAGGTTTGAAGAAATGTGAATTTCTTCTTCATACAATGGATTTGGTATGGGTGATAATGTTCATGGGTTATTATCACCTTACCGAGTGATTTACTAACGAAAATTTGATTTCGTTATGAACAATAGAGTAATAGAAATTTATATTTCTATTACTATTAACGAAATGTTAATTTCGTTATTAATTATGATTTTTAATAGAAATGTGTATTTCTATTAAAATTAAAAAAAATAAAACAAAATAGAAATCGAGATGTAAATTTCGATTCTTGGTGTTTCAGCACATGTAATATAGAGCGACCTGTTCTTAGCTCGCTGTCTTGCTGAATCCCAGTCTACTGCGTTTGCTTCGCCTTTTATACTTGTGATGTGCGAAGCAAGCAGTATCTTTGTTCTTGTGATTTCAACGGTTCGTTGTTTACAAGTTTCTTTCTATTGTTGTTTGTTTTCTTGTTGTTTATTTTGTTTTTATTATATTTGTGTTGTTTGGTATTATTTGTGTAGTAAAATTTAGTTAGTGTAAATTTTATGTTACACTATGTACACCTCTTCTTCAATTCACTCGCGTAAGCTTAGCCAAATATATACATTGAAAGAAATAAGCAGTAGTCAAATTGCAAGTAAATCCCACAAAAAAAAACTAAAAAGTGCCAGATAACAGCACTAAGGAAAACAATGTATAAAAAGCAGAAAATAATATGAAGTAATTTTACAAAAAAATTTCTATAAGAAACGTCTGTATAAACATTATCAATGTTAAAAAAATTATTTTTAAATAACAAACAAAAAA